GTACCAGTGGTTCACACTTGTAATCCTAGCTACTTGGGAGGCTAGGAGGCTGAGATTGGGAAGATGGTGGTTCAAGGCCAATCCAAGCAAATAGTTCTTGAGACCCCTCATCTCCAAATTAACCACAGCAAAATATATTGCTTTGCAAGCATGAAGCCCTGAGTTCAAATCCCAGTCCCACCAAAAACCTTTGTCCTGGGTTCCTGGGAGGTAGCCTCTAAGTCCATGGAACTTCCTGAGTGATAGGAATAGCTTGGTTATTCATAGTTGGTCCGATAGTTTGAGTTTATGACTCATGATGGGCCACCTAGCTAGTTTAAGCTAGTGAGATGTTTCAGAATGGGGGAAGACCACACTGGAAAGGTCAGTCTTCTGATTAGAGAGTGGTCGCTTTGAGCCATAAGACACCAGACTTGAATTTGGGTTCCTTTTTTTGCAGTGCTGGGGTGTGCAGTGCAAAGCTTATACCTCGAGCCATTCCACCAGCTATTTTCTGTAAAGGATTTTTTCAAGATAGGGTCTTTCAAACTATTTTCCCCAGGGCTGGCTTCAAACCTAGATCCTCCTGATCTCCACCTCCTGAGTAGCTAGGATTACAGGTGTGAGTCCCTGACACCCAGCTTATTTTGTTTTCTTGAGATACAGTCTCACTGTGTAGTCCACCAGCCTAATTGCTTAGAAGATGAAGGAGCTCAAGATTGGGTTCAATCACATGGCCAGTTTGATCAATGGCACCTACTAAATAAACCACAATAAAAAGCCTGAGTACCCCACGCTCCGGTGAGCTTCTCTGATAGGTAATAACATTGATGTGCTGGAAGGATGTCCCACCCTGAGCACCTGGAAGCTTTGCATTTGACACCCTCCCAGGCTTTGTTCTCTCTTCACTTGGCTGGTCCTGATTTGTGTCCTGTATAATAAATGGTAAGTCCAATGCTGTTAAGTTATGAATCATTTTAGCAAACTGTCAAGCTTGAAGGGATTGTGGGAACATCAAGTTTAAAACCATTTCATCAGGCTGCCAGAGTAGCTCAAGTGGTAAGAGTGCCTGCCAAGCAAAGTGTAAGGCCCTAAGTTCAAACTCCAATGTTGCCAAATACACAAATAAAAATAGAAAAATCATTTGCTCCAAAAACAAGTAGTCAGGCCGCAGGTAAAACACCTGCTTAGCAAATGTGAGGCCCTATATTCAATCCCCAGCATTGCCACAAAAAACTTTTTAAAAAAGCAATTAGTCATATAATCCAGAGGCATCTTCTTGTTTGGTTTATTTTTTGCCACATTGGGGATTTAAACTCAGGGCCTCAGCATACTCCCATCCCCAAGTAGTCATAAAATCTGGGAACCCCAAAGCTTGTAGCAGGTACCTAAGTCATGTGGAGGATTTTGCCATTACCCTGTGAAGGCTGAGCTAACACAGGAGAGTAAGCATCAGCATTGCATTGCAGCCAGTCATTCCTACCATGTAAGGATGGTGGCAACTCTCCCCAAATCCATAGTCCTGGATAACAGCAAAGGGCAAAAATGCAAGCAGGGCCTCTCCCAGATAGCAGTTTAGGGCTACCACATATGCTCTTTTCTGTACAGGTAGATTTTTTGAATTGCAAGAAAGAGGAGAATATTTCTTGTGAGGATTCACATCCTAAAGTTCTCTGAGCCAGGTGCCAGTGGCTCACGTCTGTAATCCTAGCTACTCAGGAGGCAGAGATCAGGAGGATCGAGGTTCTAGGCCAGCCCAAGCAAATAGTTTGCAAGACCCTATCTCAAAAATACCCAACAAAAAAAGGGCTGGCAGAGTGGCTCAAGTGAGAAAGCGCCTACCTAGCATGCATGAGGCCCTAAGTTCAAACCTCATCCCGCCAAAAAGAAAAAAAAAAAAAAAGGATGAGAGGCCAGGTGATTTGGCATCTAAGATGACACAAGAAGTGTGTCTCCCTTGAATCTGTGGTCTTCATTCTGAGCCAGCTACTCTGCATTTGTTCCTTCTGTTCTTATCTGACCAGAATGTAACTAAATATGGCTTCCTCACCTATGAATCTGTGTCACTGTCACCAGTGGTGGGTGAGTGAGGGTCTGGAGGAGGTCCTCCAAAAAGAAGGAAAAAAGGAGGGGTCCTCAACTCAGCACTTTATATTCTTGCTTCCAAATGAGAAGTAAAAATTTCAGGTACAAACCCAGAACTGGTGGCTCACACCTATAATCCTAGCTACTCAGGAGGCAGAGATCAGGAGGATCATGGTTGAAAGTTGGTCCACATAAGAGTTTGAGAGACACTATCTCGAAAATACCCAACACAAAAAAGGGCTGGAGAAGTGGCTCAAGTGTTAAAGCACCTGCCTAGCAAGCATGAGGCCCTGAGTGAATAAACTCCAAAAATAAGTAAAGGTGTTCAATGAATAGTATAATATAGCCAACTAACCAGTTTTTTTCTGTTGTGATAGGAACCAAACCTATGGCTTCACACATTAGGCAAGACTCCTATCACTAAACCATATCCCCAGTCCTCATTGTTGTCATCTTTTTTTTTTTTTTTTTGAGGTGGTCTCACTACATAGTCCAGGCTGGACTCAAACTTGAGATCTTGCCTCAGCCTTCTGAGTGCTGGATTGTGGTCCCATCATCCACTTTAAAAGACACAAAATGCTTTGAGGGCTTATTATTGTTTGCTTGTTGCTGGGGGCGGGGTTTGTATTTTTGTTTTTGTTGTGGGTATCAAACCCAGAGCCTTGAGCATGCATTCTACCACTGAACACACACATACAGAGAGAGAGAGAGAGAGAGAGAGAGAGAGAGAGAGAAGAGAGAGAGAGAGAGCGCCTGGCAGATTTGTTTTAGATACAGATACAGAATTTGAAGAACTGAATTTTCTTTCTTTCTTTTCTTCTTTTTCTTTTTTTTTTTTTCGGTGCTAGAGGCCTTACCTAAAACACAGTGCTTACTTCCCCAGCCCTGAAGTTGAGTATCTAGAAAGTGCTCATTAATAGATGAATGGATAAAGAAAATATAATGTATATACACGATGGAGTATTATTCAGTCATAAAAAAGAACAAAATTATGTCATTTGCAGGAAAATGGATGAAAGTGAAAGACATGTTAAACAAAATAAGAAAGACAAGTATAACATGTTTTCTCTTCTATGTGGAAATTAAAACAACAATAAAGAAAAGACCTGAAAGTAGAAGAGAAACTATTAGGGAAGAGGACTGGGGAACTTGGGAAGACAAGTGGGAAGAAGAGAGAAGAGGAGGATGGGCATCATCGAAGCACAATATTTGCATGTATGGGAATGTCCTGGTGAAAGCCGATCATTTGTTCAATTAATATGTATAAAAAATTATAATAAGACTATTGAGAAAGTCTTGGGCAGGGGATGTAGCTCAGTGATAGAACCCTTACTTAACGTGAACAAGGCCCTGGATGTGATCCCCAGCACCACAAAATGCCAAATAAAAACATAAATAACTTGTTTTAAAACGTTAAAGGGAAGCAACAGATCGTGTAAAATATTTGCAACACATATATTAGTTAAGGATTTATATACAGATCACATCTTCCAACTCAATAACAGGACAAGCAACAAAATAGGGAAATGGACAAAAGATTTGAGGCTATTTCACAATAGAAGATATATGAATGTCTGAAAACATGCTCAGCATTATTATTGACAAGGGAAGCAAATTAAATAAATCATGATTTAATTTACACAAATTAAAATTACCATTAGATACCACCTCATACGCATTAGAATGACTAAAACCTAAAAAGTGTTGGTGAGGATGTGGCACAACTGGAACGCTCCTGCACTGCTGGTGGGAGTGTAGAATGGTACAACCACACTGGGAAAGTTTGGCTATCCCATAAAAAGTTAAACAAAAGCCTATCAAATGAGCAGTCCTCCACTTCTAATGTCCACACAAAGCCTAGTATGTGAATGTTCCTAGCAGCTTTATTTGTAATTGCCCTAAATTAGGAACAGCCCAATACATATCGAGGATTGCATTAAAAAATAATGGAGGATGTACAATGAGGGCTGGAGTGTGGTCCAAGTGGTACAGAGCTTGCCTAGCAAGCACAAAGCCCTTCGTTCAAACCCCAGTACGGGGGGCGGGGGGGGGGAAGAAAAAAGGAAGGAAATAATACAATGAAACACTACTCAGTAATAACAGCAATAAAAACTCCATATAATCTGTTGATATGTGCAACAAGGATACGTCTCACAATTATTCTGAGTCAAAGAAGAGAAACAAATAGGATTCCATCTGCCATGAGGATGTCATCAGCAGCCAATGCTGGCCATGCTCTTGGACCATTTACTCTCTTACAAGTCTTGCTTTCCCCGCTTGTATGTTCAGGCATTTCTCTGTCAATAAAACTGCCCACCACAATCCCATCAGTGCTCTCTGTAGCCTTAACTTTCAAACATCATCAATCTTCTCCATTCATAACTTTTGAGAGCTGAGGCTGTTAATGACTCATTTTTACACCTTTGTTTCGCCTCCTCCGCTCTCCTACCCCCAGTGCCTAGTCCAAAGCATTAGTAGAACTGAAAGATCTCGAATAGGGAAGGGAGAAAAGAAAGGGGAGAAGGGGAGCACCAGACGCTTGGAACTTTCTATTAGGTGGGATAAGTATAGTAGCTCGTTTAGCGCTCACAAGATGCGAATCTTACAGATGAATTGAGAGTGTTTAAGACTTTGGTTAGACACTACAACACGGCGAAGGGCAGAAGATCTCTTAAGAGAATCACACGGAGAGGTGAGATCCCGGACCACAATCCTTTCCGGAGAATATTAAAACAGTGAATTCAGGAGACCTCGGATATTCCGCAGGAGTCACAGTCACGAATTCGCAAGTACAATAGCGCAAAACCTTTCCTGTCCCACTATCGACAGAACAAATCAGGCCCCAGTCTAAATTCTAAAACCTACTGATTGGGCATGAAACTTCCTCTCCCGACCCCACATTCTCAGGGGACTCTCCCTACAGCTGGGCACAGGGGGCCGCCGCCGAGACTCCAGCACGCAGAGAACGCGAGGAACCAGGAAGAGGAAGCGCCAGCCCACTATGGCGTCTCTGATTGGCTGCTGGCTTAGCTTGGAACGCTGGGACGTATGGCGTCACTTCCGCCGGGCCCGCCATCTTGTTCCCAGGGGCAGTTGGCGGAAGAGATCGCGCTCCCTGGCCGCCGGCTTGCCTTTGCTTGGAGTACTCGCAGCCCGCATCTTGGCGTCTGCTGTCGGTCCGGGATCCGTTTGTCGGCCTCCCGGCAGTTTTTCTTCGCCTGGCTGGGGCACAGCGCAGCGGCCCCTTCCTCCGACGGCGTTCCATGGAGTAGGGTCCCGGACCGTTGTCCCGAAGAGCGAGATCGAGCTTGGTCCCCCTCCCCCTCCCTTCTCCCTCCCTCCTTCCTTCAGCCGCAACATGGCTAACAACAGCCCGGCGCTGACAGGCAACTCGCAGCCGCAGCACCAGGCCGCCGCGGCTGCGGCCCAGCAGCAGCAGCAGTGCGGCGGCGGAGCCACCAAGCCGGCGGTGTCCGGCAAGCAGGGCAATGTGCTTCCGCTTTGGGGCAACGAGAAGACCATGAACCTCAACCCCATGATCCTGACCAACATCCTGTCGTCGCCTTACTTCAAAGTGCAGCTCTACGAGCTCAAGACTTACCACGAGGTGGTGGACGAGATCTACTTCAAGGTACGAAGCTTGTAGGCCTTGGGCTCGGGGGTAAGTTCGGAAGAGGGGTATGGAGGAAACCGGTGGAGGCGGCCCCCCGAGATCGGAGGATTTGGGGGGGAGGGTGGAAGGAGTTGGGGGTCTGCGGCATGTAACCGGTCAGGGAGGGGTCGGGCTGGGGCCGCCCGCCCTCTTGTTTCCTTTTCAGATTTTTTTTTTTTTTAGAGCCGGGAGAGCCCGCCACTGTCGATGTTTCTCCTCCCCCAACCTCCTGCCTACCCCTGGGGCAGGGGGGAGGGGGAGAAATTGGGGTCACAGGTGTAGGGGAGAGGAGAAAAGAGTTACCGAAGCCTCTGCAGCTCACAGTTTTAAAATTGCTGCTTTTGACGTTGGATCGATCTACTGAGCGCCAACTTGTTGGGGCTTCTCCCGCGCACCACGAGCCGGGGCGTGTTGGCCTGGCGCTGTTGGTACTGTCCAATCCAAACAGGGACGTGGTCAGCGCGTGTGTGCTGGGAGGGCTGTGGGGGGAGGCCAAGGGTGGAGAGGTGCCAGTGCGAGAGGTGTACAGAAGGCCTGGAAATTTTCCCAGCAGGAAGTCAGGAGTAAGAGGTCTCAGCCACCTGTGCATTGGGCAGATTTAGAATGATCTGGGCCCTGGGCTTCTGCGGCAGGGTCGGTGCTGGCTTGGCTGTGCTGGGGAGCTCACCTGGCGCCTCCTCACTGCACTCTTGTCTCAGTTCTTGTTTCGTTAGCAGGATTGACTCAGTCTTGCAGCGAGGCTCGGAGCAGCCCAGGGTCGCAGGTAGAGGTATGCACTATTAATCATGCTCAATCGCCATAAATGCATTTCCCTGATTAAATGAACGGCTACTTAGATTTTTGGTTTTTTTGTTTTTATTTTTTGTGGCCATTGGTTTTGGTCTTCACCAACTAGATAGGCTTTCTCCACTTCCCTGCAAATTATGTAGTGTTAAAAATACCTTCCAGGCCTCCAAAGTTAACATCTGTTTTAAGGACTATTAATAATAATATCCTTTAGAGTCTTAAACACTTTAGTTAGAACATCAAATATGCAATCTATATTGACCCTTGAAAAAATTTACGACAGACCATGTATTTTCTGTCATCTGAACAGCTGTGTAGAGATATTAATAAAAGGATATTCCGTATTTGTTTTACTTACCTGCTCCCCCCCCCCCAATTGGGTGTTTAGAGTTTTGAAAGATTTCTGAGAGATTGCTTTTTGTGTAGAAAACAACTTGAGGAATACAGTGCAATTCTGGGTATATAAAGTCGGTAAATAAATTTGGTATTATCTTATAAGAGTACTTAGTAGATCTAACTGCAGTGGTGCAAACTAGTTTAAACTAGCTTTTGAAAGGTAAGACCTTTGAACAGGGATACAGTGTGGCACATACTAATACTAAAGTTTATTTCTGCAATAAACTGAACAGTTGCAAATTGGGGTCCTGCACCTTTTGTGATAGGTTCTGTTTTAAAAAGTAGGCAAATGTTGATGTCATATAGGAAAAATTGTTTTCAAGTGTTGTGTTTTGAAACAAGATTCTACCAGGAATTGTTCGAATTCAGTTTTAAAACTAAAGACCCAGATTTTGATGTTTGGATCAAATAATCATTGAAATATATAGGCTTGAATTTTTTTGTGTGTGTGTTTTTTTTGTCTTGTATTTTGGTGGTACTGGGGTTTGAACTCAGGGCTGCACACTTGCTAGGCAGGCGCTCTACCACTTGAGCCACTCTGCCAGTCCCAGGTTTGGGATTTTGTACTTTTAACTTTGTATTGCATCCACCCTTTGCTTTTGCTAGTCTTTAAGGAATTGAAGCAATTTGCAAGAAAACTGGGAGAAGGAAAGGAAACAGTAAAGCACTGCAGGAATTGTGCAGAGTACTGTAGTGCTTACATTTAATGCAGGCTTTTCTGTCTGAAGCCACTGAGTACTGTAAAATGTTAACACGTGGAGGTGGAAATACACATTTGGAGATAAAAAGAGTGAAAGAACAGGATTTTTTTTGTTTGTTTTAAGAAATGAACATAATTCTCTTCTTGGTTTTGTTTTCTAGCTACTGCTTTTGCTACTTTTAGGTAAAGCTTTTTGTAGGGTGCTCCCTTTAATAAAAATGATACTGTATTATCTTTGGTTATACTTAGTATTTCTTAATGACTGTTCACACTTAGTTTGTGAAATAGTTTATATTCTGGAAAAATGGATTGGTTCACATAATTAGGGTGAGAATAAATGACAAGAATGATCTATGTATAAGTGTGTGGCCTTTGTGATTTCAGTCCTTAATGAGGAATGAACCTGATCCTGGTGAAAAAATAAGCAAATAAAAATTTCCATAATTTTGCATCAAGATAGCTTATTACTGTTTTAGCAAACCTGTTTTAAGAGATGCTGAAGATTCAAGCCAGGCTTTGAGCATGCTATCACTGAGCTACATTCTCAGCCCTAGAAAGTTTTGTTCAAGTCATTTTCCTTTATTTTATAATACAGATTTTTAAAACCACTGTAAAACTGTACCATTGAGGGTATTTAAAAGATTTTTTCTAACTGATACTTAATTGATACTTTCTGCTTTAAATTGGAAGCTTAAATTCATTTTTTAAATGGAAATTTTTATTCTTAAGCAGCTCATAATAAGATAAAAGTTGAACCAGTATATTTTCTGAAAGTATATGAAACTGTAGAACTTTCCTGATTCCCCACAGGTATAGATAGTAGCTTTTTATAAAGCTGGTTTAATGAGACTTCTACTCTAAGCATTTTAAGATTTTTTTTTAATCCTAGTAGTCTTAGGGGTATTCTTTAAATGTCTCAGCAGTTTTTCTAAAGATTTACATAACATAATGTGAGTGACAGTTCTGTCTACACAATGCCAAAATAGTTTTGGAAGAGCTACTCTTATGGAGTTGGGCTTACTTTAATCAGACTTTGAAAAATTCAAAGTGTGAATGTTTGTTGTGTTCCTCTTTTTTATTTTCAGGTCACGCATGTTGAGCCGTGGGAGAAAGGAAGCAGGAAAACAGCTGGCCAGACGGGGATGTGCGGAGGGGTAAGTAGAAGTACGTGCATTTTTTTCAGTTTTTCTGTCCATTAACTGAGTTTATTGGGAAGCTAAAGGTCTGTCATTACACATCCAAATGATAGTTCATTGGCAGATCTTAGAATTTTTTAACAGTGTAAATTCATTTTCCCAGTGACTAGTGTTAGAAAAAGTTTTACCTGTTAGGCTCCATTCTTAGTTTTGGAATATGTCTTTTCAGTGATATATGGAAAAATGGGTGTTAAGTATCTGTTAACTGTTGTCCTTATTAACTCTGTTTCCCCTAAAGGTTCGAGGTGTTGGAACAGGAGGAATTGTTTCCACAGCTTTTTGCCTGTTATACAAATTATTTACTCTGAAGCTAACTCGCAAGCAAGTGATGGGTCTTATTACACACACAGACTCTCCATATATCAGAGCCCTTGGATTTATGTATATAAGGTGCGAATGCATTTAGTTACATTTTTACTAAATACCTCATTTTGATTCATGTAAGCTTACTGAGTGTTTCATAATTTTAGGTATACACAGCCCCCTACAGATCTGTGGGACTGGTTTGAATCCTTCCTTGATGATGAAGAGGTATGTCAGCAAGGGTAATAATTAGTTTTCTTCTGATTACTCTCATACTTTTAATGTCTTTTATTTATTGGAGGTTTAATGTCTTCCAGAATTTATTTCAACCATACTCTAAGGATTATTGTCCTCTTGCTAAGACTTGATGACTTTAAATTTTTTTATTTTAAAATGTGTTTTGATTATTACTGAAAATTTTCTCTTCCAAATTGTGTTCTGTGTATTGTATTGATCCTAACTTCTACACTTGATAGTGACTTTGTAAGGTGGGCCATGGTCAAGACTGAGGTGATAAGAGACCTGCACACAGAATACTAATTGTAGCTTTTTTTTTTCCCTAGAACTTCATTCTCTAACCTCTTCCAAATATCCGTATTCCCATTTGCATAGAAGTGCTGGATGTGATTTAAATAGGCTGAGGGATTAGATGAGTTGTTCATGGTCACAATTTTTAATTCCAGCATTCCTTTTGGTGTTCGGGGGGAGATGAGGATCAGACTGTGTTACCCAGGCTGGTCTCCATCTTGTAATCCTGCCTCAGTCTCCAGAGTAGCTGGCATTACAGAGGTTTACCATCATGCTTAGCTAATTCTAGCTTTCCGACTCCTAGTGTACCACACATATTTTTAAAAAAATGAACAAGGACTGGGCATATGGCTCAGTGGTAGAATTCCTTGGATTCAATCCCCAGCACCACCAAAAAATAAATAAATAAATAAAAGGAAGAAGGAAAAAAACCCCACAACTTTGTTCAGCACTTTAGATATTTAAAGATTGTAAATCTGATTTGCATTCCCAAACCTGTGATATATTCAGGAAAAAAGTTACTTCATGAAACTTGAAAGTTACATTGTCCATATATCTATTCCCACTATTTCTTTACGTTTTAAGGTTCATGAAGCAGACTTTGAGGGTTGCTTTAGTAGCCCTATTTGAAAAATTCATACAGAGCCAGGTGTTGGATCACCCCTGTAATCTTAGTTGTTTGGTAGGCTGACAACAGGATTGAGATTTGGGCCAGCCCAGGCAAATAGCTTATGAGACTCCATCTCCAAAGTAAATAGAGCAAAATGGTCTGGAGGTGTGGTTCACGTGGTAGAACTCCTGCTTTGCAAGCCTGAAGCCCAAAGTTAGCCCCTAGTCCTACAAAAAAGAAAAAGGAAAGAAATGAAAGTAAAGAATTTGTTGAATTCAAGAATGGATCTGAGAGAAATACCTTGTTTTTGTCATTACATGTACACCTAAAAAATACCTCATTCATTTAAGCATAGGTACTTTTTTCATATATATGCCTTTTTTTGCCCTGTTTACAGAGTTTAATAACTCGGAAGATCCGAAAAGTGTTCTTAGTGATAATCACTATTGTTAAGGTTTATTTCCTCTTTAGATGAGGTTGTTTGTCTTTTTAAGAGTAAAGCACGTGGTTTTTTTTGTCTTCAAAAAGGCATGTCCCTCTGTACAATTGTTGCATTAGGTTTGTTTGTGAATGCTTCTAATTAATCTGTTTTTTATTGTGTTTACAAACCTGAGGTCCTCTGTTTAAGCTAACTCATGTTTTCTTCTTTAGATATCTGCAGCGATTATATTTGGAAATACTGTATATCTGAACACTTAAATGTGTGTGAGTGCAAGCAGTTTTACCTTTAGCTCTTGTTTTCCTGTTTAGATAACAAATCTCACTTTCCTTGTGTGCTTGCACTATAGGTTTGGGACTGACAATAGCTGACTAACATGTCCTGAGCTGTGAGAGGGCATAGCAAGAAGGCCTTCATGCGGTAATGACCCTTTTCAGAGACAATGGTCATCATGGATTATGCGTTGCCAATTATTTGTTCATTTATTTATTTTCTACATAACTTTCAATTAGAAACCTCACTGCTTCATGGCAGTTGGTTTGCTATTGCTTCCAATTTTATTAGGGCTTCATTTTGTATTCCAGCTGTTAGGTAACCTTTAGACAAGAATTATCTGAAGTAGTTAATATGTGGTTAGGTTACATTGCTAGGTATGATATATACAGATGTGTCCATAGAATACATACTTAGTAGGCATGTGGAATTTAAATTTAAGCTGTTTATTCCACATATTTTTTAGTAATGGAAGTGGCTTTTCATAATCCTTTTAACTGAGCGAGGTCAGTTCCTTTATGCCCACGAGACTGCAGGGTTTGTTCTCACCTGCATGTACACACTAAGCCCAAATATTTCTCTAGCATTCATTGCCAAATTAGGATACAAAAATTGAAATTTTTCTGTTAGAATTTTTTTATACTTGAGATTCCAAAGATGGTAATGTTTTTTAGTATTCACCTATATACTGAAATGCCTTTTTTTGACGGTTAGGGTATCTTTTGTGTTTCATAGGACCTAGATGTGAAGGCTGGTGGAGGCTGCGTAATGACCATTGGAGAAATGCTTCGGTCTTTCCTCACGAAACTGGAATGGTTTTCTACCTTGTTTCCAAGAATTCCAGTTCCAGTACAGAAGAATATTGATCAACAGATTAAAACTCGACCCAGGAAAATCAAGAAAGATGGAAAGGAAGGTGCTGAGGAAATAGACAGACATGTTGAACGCAGACGTTCAAGGTAATGTAACAGATGATACTTTTTTTTTTTTAAAGGTATACTTTACTCTTGGAAATCAGTGGCAAGATCTTTTTTTTTTTTTCCTCCTTTCTTCCCTTAGTTTTCTGTTCTTATGTTGGGGATCAAATGCAAGGTCTCATGCTTAATTTCTTTTTACTTTTTTTTTTTTTTCTCGGTACTGGAGTTTGAACTCAGGGCCTCACGCTTGCTAGGCAGGTGCTCCACCACTTAAGTGCCTCTGCTAGCTCAGCAGCTTACTTATTCTTGATGTGTGTGTAAGCTGGGACTTAAGTAATACTGATGAAATTTTTACAATGGTTGGTTGGTTGGTTGGTTTTTGTTTCATTTTGGACTTATTTTTTTCATGGTGCCAGGGATTAAACTCCTTTCCTCACATGATAGAAAAGTGCTCTATCACTGAGCTACATCCACAGCTCTTACAAAGTTTTATTTATTGGAAATTCCTTCTTCCTTCCCCACCCCCCTTTCTTAGATCCCCAAGGAGATCACTGAGTCCACGGAGGTCTCCAAGAAGATCAAGAAGTAGAAGCCACCATCGAGAGGGCCATGGGTCTTCTAGTTTTGACAGAGAATTAGAAAGAGAGAAAGAACGCCAGCGACTAGAGCGCGAAGCCAAAGAAAGAGAGAAAGAAAGACGACGATCAAGAAGTATTGATCGGGGCTTAGATCGCAGACATAGTAGGAGTAGGGAAAGGCATAGAAGTCGCAGTCGAAGTCGTGATAGAAAAGGGGATAGAAGAGACAGGGATCGGGAAAGAGAGAAAGAAAATGAGAGAGGCAGAAGACGAGATCGAGACTATGATAAGGAAAGAGGTAATGACAGAGAAAAGGAGAGGGAACGGTCCAGAGAACGGTCCAAGGAACAGAGGAGTAAAGGTGAAGTAGAAGAGAAGAAACAGAAAGAAGACAAAGATGATAGGCGGCATAGAGATGACAAAAAGGATTCCAAGAAAGAGAAAAAACACAGTAGAAGTAGAAGCAGAGAAAGGAAGCACAGAAGTAGGAGTAGAAGTAGAAATGCAGGGAAACGAAGTAGAAGCAGGAGCAAAGAGAAATCAAGTAAACACAAAAATGAAAGTAAAGAAAAGTCAAATAAACGAAGTAGAAGTGGCAGTCAAGGAAGAACTGACAGTGTTGAAAAGAGAAAACGAGAACATAGCCCCAGCAAAGAAAAATCTAGAAAGCGTAGCAGAAGCAAAGAACGATCCCACAAACGAGATCACAGTGATAGTAAGGACCAGTCAGACAAACAGGATGGCCGGAGGAGCCAAAGTATAGAAGGAGAGAGCCAAGAAAAACAACATAAAAACAAAGATGAGACTGTGTGAAAACGTCTGTGAAAGTGGATCACATTGAATCCTAGAAACATATGATCAAATTTTTTTTTTTTCCTTCAGAGTTGAGATTGTGCAGTAGTTCCGCACTCTTCGAGCTCCCCGTAGGCTACATTTTCATTTCTTTTGTGTAGGGAAGTGCCTTTGTAATCCCATTTATTGCATTGATGTTTTCACCCAATTGTTGAGTTGATACATGATGCACAGATTGTTCTTGCATTTTTATTGTTTATTTTAAAAATGTACAGTCTGTACATATGTCCTGGAAATGTTTTAATTCCTTTGGCATGGTTGCCATGTTGGTTAAATTTGTATAAGGCAATAAACTGCCGCTAATTCTATTTTTGTTTCGTAGGTGTGGGATTATGGTTGTGTACTGAAGTTAGCATGGTTGTGCTTTTCGTAATAGAATGCTAAAGACTTTGGGAATGGATCTTGGATGTCTTACAGGAGAGTTCTGCGCTTTCAGTGTTCATGAAGGCACCAGTTGTAGGCTTAACATTCTTGTCCACTGTATATTACCTTGGAAGGCTCTTGTTAATATGTTATGCTTAATATTCTCCACAGTTAACTTTAGAGAGAATTTATAAGAAGTTAGTTTCTGATGCAGAGTTTTAAATTAGGCTGTGATTTGATAAAAGTCCTTTTAGCATTCTACCTCAAAGGGACACTGTTAGTATGCCTAAAATATATTCACTTAGTTTTCCTTTTTTATTTGAAAAAAATACATGACATGTAATCTTTTTTTCCTTGAATTCTTTCTCAGATTTTTAAAGTACTATATTAAAGAAAAAAATTAATGTCTAAAGCCTAGCATTCTTGGAGCAACCCTGTACTAATGTGTAATTGGGAGAGGGCGGGGCACATGAGTAGAGAAATGGATTCAAGCCTCCAGCTTCCAAAGCATTTTTATAAGGGGAAAATACTTAAATTATGAAACAGCTTGATATAGCATCCTTTTTTTAAAATTCAAAACTTTTTTTATTGATAATGAAGATTGCTGTTTGAGTTTTTAATCTAGAAGTATTAAAAGTAATGCTATGCTGCATTATTTAAGACTATCAGCAGATTATTTGATAGATTGTTCTTATGACTTGTATTCTGATTACAGAGAACCATCATGAGTGTGGAATAAATACTGGATTAAATCCTTTATCCTGGGTGTTGGCTTTTCCCCCATTTGTTAACATTTTTGAAAGTATTTTTTAAAATGTGTAAATTGATAAAATGTCGGTAGAGTCATGCTTCATGTACATCAATATCTTGGAGCCAAGGTGAAGGTAAATTTTAAACATAGACTGGAATTGGGCATGTGTAATAGTCAATAACCCTGACTAGAATTCTTAACAATGGCAGATAAGTCAATGGATGTTTTTCCGTCACTTAATTTGTTCCAGGTCAACAGTGCTTCTGATGTTATTTCACTTGGACTATTAGTATTCAAAATTTGGACTTGAAATTTTCTAAGGTTATCAAATTTTTAGGACAAAAAATAAAGGCCCAAAGTGTTAGGTTTCATCAGTGCCAGGACTTGGGGTTCTTGACAGTACACTGTACCAGCATTTATTTAAATCCCTAGTTATATTAGCCAACTGAAGGGCACTCAGAAGCCACCTTACAAAAGTACTAAATGGAATAAGAGACCTCCATATGTGGGCTTTGTACCCACTTCTATTTAAGAAAAATCTCATTAAATGAATTCTATAAAATCACTGATTTTTTTAAAAATAAGTCATGTTTGGAGTGTCAAGTGAACTTGACAGTGTAGACAGCTAGAATTTACAAAAACCTATTTGTAATGAAAGTTTGTAGATTTATCTTTTTTGATTTGTGGGGGGTTTTTGACACAGGGTCTCTATGCAGTTCAGATTGGTCTTGAACTCAGGTCATCCTGCTGCTTCCCAAGTGCAGAGATTACAAACATGCACCACCACCACCCAGGCTGCCCTCAAATTCCAGATCCTCAGCCTCCTAAATGCTGGGATTACAGACATGTACCATAACTTAAGACTGCATCTGGGTTTTCGTTTTATAGTGGTACTGGGGTTTGAACTTGGCCTTGTGCTTGATAGGCAGGCATACCTCCAGCCCTTTCTGCTTTCATTGTTTTTCAAGTAGGATGTTGTGTGTATGCCTGCACCAGCCTGGATTGTGATCCTGTTTACACTTACTGTGTAGATGGGGTGACACATGTTCTACCACAACCAGCTTTTACTAGTTGAGATGGGGTCTTGCAAACTCTGCCCATGCTGTCCTCAAACTGATCTGACATCTTCCCTAGTAGCTAGGATTAAAGGTATGAGCCATGTGCCCAGCCATTGTATCTCATTTTTAATGTTCAGCTTGTAATGGGCTAGTGTATCATCACTTAAAATTTCAGTATAACATGTCCATCTTTATGCTCAATTTATAATGTAGCCTGGTTTAGTTTCTCAGTTGCTCTAAGTGTTTTTTTCTTTTTTGTTCTCTGGGAATCATGCCAGGCAAGTGCTCAAGCATTCTTAGCACAGAGCTCCAACCCAGCCCAGTTACACCTCTAAGTGGAGCTGATTTTATGGGGAAGGAAACAGTTGCTGACATTCTCTGAAATCCTGTGTCATTTCCATGTATGAGATCCCGCAGTGCTCTGCAAATATCCCTGAGATTAAATTTTTCATTTTAGTATCGTCTGTCAACATTACTGTAGGGGGCATCACAGCCTGGGTACAACCAAGAAATGTTAGCATCATACCTACCTTAAAATCCTTTATTCTATCTCAGCATTGGTAGTCAGAGTTCCTGCTATTACATAATCATGATCTGTACAGCACCACACAGGCTAAGTGTATCCAGACGTGTGTGGGGAGTGCTATTTCAGCCTATTTCAGCTAAAATGAAAGTTGCACTTGTTCAAGTGAAACAGCTCACCTTTATGCATCCCACAAGGCATGCAAGCCATGAGAGTTTTGTCAGAAGGACTGAAAAAAGGCTCACATAAGCCTCCCCTATCTGCAGTTACCTAAAGTCCACCAATCTGCAAGTTGGTTTTCCTTGGCTCTTCTGGCCGTTCTGAAGCTGAACTATTTCTTGGGTCAGTGGAATTGGTTGACTCCCAACAGATTTTATCAACCCCGACCCCCTTACATCTGAAATAAGTCACCAGTGTTTTGGATTTCCAACAGTACCAAGAGAGGACATTTATTTATTTATTTTTGGTAGGGAGAGGGTCTTTGAACTCAGGGCTTCACACTTGCTAGGCAGGTGCTCTTACTGCTTGAGCCACTCTGCCAGCCTTACCCCTGCTTTTTACTTTCAGTCCTTTCATTTCCTTTCTTTCTTAGAACTAACATCCATTATTTTAAAAAGCTCCCTGGCATATGGCTTCAACTACTGGTTTTTCCTCTGCATTTCATTTTCCTGGCAAAATACCAGTCTCTTTGGGCCGTGTGAGTGCTAGGCAAGCACTTGAGCCATGCCCCAAGCCTCTTTTCTTTTTTGGTGGTACTGGGGTTTGTACTCGGGACCTCAAGCTTGCTAAGGCAGGTGTTCTACCACTTGAGCCACTCTTTGTGTTGGTTATTTTTGATAGAGGGTCTCACTTTTTGCCCAGGCTGGCCTTGAACTGTTGTCCTTATCTCTGCCTCTTGAACTAGAATTACAGGTGTGAGCCACCCATCCCCAGCTCAAGAAAGGGTATCAAGTACTAGTTGAATCAGTCTTCCTAAACAAAGTATTCCGTATCTGACCCCTGTTCTGGGAAGTGAGTTTGCCAAGCCTTGTGCAAGAACAGTTCCTAGTTTGTGAACATGCCAGATAATTTATTTCTTGACACCGAATTCATGGCCCTGCTTTGTGGTTTTGAAGCTTTGCCACCCGGCATGACACTGTCATTAGGGGATGCTGGAGGGATGCTACAGAAGGAAGGAGCTTCTGCTTCCTGTCCTGTCTTCTGCACTGAGTAGCAGCCACTCAGTGCAGCAAATTCAGTGGCATCTCATTGAATAAGTGACAGGAGCTTCCAGCAAGCTTGTAAGACTCACTGCCAGTTTCCCAGTAAACCATATCCTAAACAAATTTTGTGTGCCGACTGGCAGAGTGGCTGAAATGGTAGAGTCCCTGACTAGCAAGCATGTAAGGCCTTGAGTTAAACCCCCAGTGCTACCAAATAAATAGAGTGTGTGTGTGTGTGTCCTGGGGATCAAATCTAGTTCCTCATGCATGCTAAGCACATGCTCAACCTCTGACCTATATTCCCCGCACTTAAACAATTCATATCCCCTACAATTCATAAGTGCTATTTCAAATCTTTAAAAAATTTTTTATTAGACGCTGAGGAGGATTTATTAGTATATTCTTGTTGTACAGGGGTTTCATTGTGTCATTTACACATATAGATGTATTATACCCCAATCTGATTCATCCCCTCCATTCTTCCACCCCATTCCCCCTAAGGTGGCTTCAACAGATTTCTTTTTGTGTGTGTGTGTTTTTTTTTTTTTTGGGAGGAGGGGTATACTGAAGTTTGAACCCAGAGCCTCACACTTGCTAGGCTCACTTGAGCCACTCCACCAGCCCTGTTTTGTGCTGGGTATTTTCAAGATAGAGTCTCAAGGAACTATTTGCCTGGGCTGGCTTGGAACTGTGATCCTACTCATTTCTGCCTTCCGAGTAGCTAGTGCCTGGTTTATTTCAAGTCTTAACTAGGCTAAGTCTCCTACTCCACCTCCATATTCATTGTCACTTCACATAGACCAAGCAAAACATTCCTCAGTTTGCTGCCTTTTTTTTTGTGGTACTGGGATTTGAACCCAGAGCCTCACACTCGCTAGGCTCACTTGAGCCGCTCCACCAGTCCTCTTTTGTGATGGGTTTTTTCATGATCAGGTCTTGGGAACTGTTTTCCCGGGGCTGGCTTGGAACCACGATCTTTCTGATGTCTGCCTCCTGAGTAGCTAGGATTACAGGCATGAGCCAAGGGCGCCTGCCTAATTTGCTGCCTTCCTCCCCAAAGCTACAAGATTGGCTGCAGTCACATCTAGTTTTCCTCCATCTCTGTCTCTCTGTCTTTGTATTATTACTGATTGATTTGGGGGTGTTTGGGGTGGAGATCAAACCCAAGGCCTCACACTTGCTAGACAAGCATTCTACCACCGAGCTAAATCCTCAACTCCTGTATTGTCGGTTAATCTTAATTTCCCTAATGTTACTCCATCAGCACAGTGATAATGTTTAAATAGGCTCACTCTTGGTCATCTTAGGTCCATTTCCTCAGGTCCTAAATTCATGTATTTACTGTTTTGCAGAATCCCCTTCCTGAAAGGAGAAGTTTAGGCAGCTGATAATTTTAGTAATTCACAGCTATAAAGCTTCATTCGTACCACAAAAACAATTGAGTTATAACCCTGCTTCCCAGTGGAACTGTTTAGCAATAACACTTTTTTTATATTATTATTTGGCAATACTGGAGCTTGAACTCAGGGTTTCACTGTTTGCTAGACAGGTGCTCTACCACTTCTCCACATCTCCAGGTCCTTTGGCTCTGATTATTTTGGAGATGGTATCTCACTTTTTGCCCAGATTAACCTGGACCACAATCCTCCTATCTTACTTTTCTTGCTGTAGTTGGGATGACAGGCATGCACCACCACACCCAGCTATGGATTGAGATGGGGTCTTGTGAACTTTTTTGCCCGGGCTTGTCTCCTTTAAAGTTTGTGTTGTCACATCACACTATACACTGTCCCTCAATTGTTCATATCCTCCACATGGCTTGGAAGACTCCCCTTGTATTTAACACTTAGAAAGTTTAACAGGCAGCTTGCTATAGTTCAGATCTCCAATGTTCCCCAAAGGCCAGTAGGGCTTTGTTCCACCCTGTAGTCTACTGGGAGTCTACTTGTGGAAGTTTTAGGAGGTGAGGCCTTGTGGGAGGATGTTAGGTCATTGGGGGTGTGCCCTTAAATGGGCTTGGGGACCTCGGCTTCTTCCCATCTTTCCCTTCCCATCTGCCATGAGGCAGGCAGCTTACTCCACCATGCACCCTGCCGGAATATCCCACCTCTGTACAGGCCTAAAGGGAACAGGACCAAGAAGCCATGAACTGACACCTCTCAGAAAGTAAGCCAAAATAAACCTTTCCTCTTTTTGAGGTGATTCTCTCAGGAATCTTGTGACAGTAATGGAAAGCTGACTGACACATGGTTCAGTGGCTCTTTCCTCAATACTTCTACCATAATTCTTTTGTTTTCTTTTAATTTTTGGTTTTTGGACACAGGGAATCACTGTGTAGCTCAGGTTGGCCTCTAACTCGTAATCCTCCCACCTGCATCTGCTGTGTGATGGGATCACAGATGTGTACCACCACACCTGGCTGCCATAATTCTTTGTTTGTTTATTTAGCAGTGCTAGGAGTCAAATATTGGGCCTTGTGCATGCCAGGAAACCTCTCTACCACTGAGCTATACTCCCAACCCTGCTGCCATCGTTTTTTTTATTCTGTCCTTTTATTTATTTATTATTTATTTATGTATGTGGGGGGGTGTGGTATTGGAGTTTGAACTCAAGGCCTTGTGCTTGGTAGACAGGTGCTCGCTCTACCACTTGAGCCACGCCCCAAACAAATAAAAAAAATGTTTTAGGTGGTACTGGGATTTGAACTCAGAGTCTTGTGCTTTGAACTGCTCTGCAAGCCCCCTGCTGCCATAACTATTAATGATTTCAGTGT